TATCCCAAATCGTATATTTAAATAAATCGTGTACAATCGGGTTTAGTGAAGAGTTCGACAGTAAATATTCATGAAAGTTGTAAACACCGATAAATTCTCTCATTCGTCTCGTTGATACGTCAGTTGTTTAAACACACAGGCATGCACACGCATATATACATATAAAAATATAATATAATATATAAATGTATAATATAATTATATAAATATCTTACTTATTATAAAACGCAGATTGTGTGTGTGTGTGTGTGTGTGTGTGTGTGTACGTTTATATATTGGATCGGATTACTTACATTTTGCAACCGATTTCAACAAAACTTCACAGGACGACGTAAAATTACCTTGGGGCGGTTCTGACAGCGCCAAAAATTTGAAAAACACAATTGTTTTTGCACGAAATCAATTTGAAAACACGATTAAGAGGCGTCGCGAGAATGAAAGGAGGACATCTCATATCGAGTTATACTTATTATAAAACCCTGGTTTGGTTGTGTGTGTGTGTGTGTGTGTGTGTGTGTGTGTGTGTGTGTGTGTTCGTTCGTTTATATATGGGATCGGATTTCCTACATTTTTCAACCGATTTCAACAAAACTTCACTTTTTTTTTCTGGCAGGTAGTGTTTCTTATTGTCTTGCACACTTTTTTCTTTATTTTTACATTCAGAATGCTTTAAAAATTCCATTTACAAGACAATTGTTTATAATAAAATTCTATTCAATCGGTAGACTCATAATGATTGAAAACAATGTTTTTGTTTGAGTTTGGGTTTGACCAATTCGTAAAAAACAAAACAAAAACAAAAAAAACTAATTAAGACATGCGTGTCCGTCAACCTTAAACAATAATCTTTGTCAATTTTATTTTTCAGTCTTTATGATGGTCGATACTTGATCTATCTCTTACTGTTACATCCCCGGGCAACGTCGGGCTCTACTGCTAGTAAAATTCTATTCAATCGGTAGACTCATAACGATTGAAAACAATGTTTTTGTATGGGTTTGACCAATTTGTAAAAAAAAAAAAAAAAACTAATTAAGCCATGCGTGTCCATCAACCTTAAACAATAATCTTTGTCAATTTTATTTTTCAGTCTTTAAGATGGTCGATACTTGATCTATCTCTTACTGTTACATCCCCGGGCAACGCCGGGCTCTACTACTAGTAATATATAAAATATAATATATAAAAATATAATAATATATAAATATAATTTATGTATATATATATGATTGGATTACTCTGTATCCTTGGAAACAAAAAAATTATGAATTGTATGTGCGTTTAAAACTCAGTAAATAAGTTATTCCAAAATTCGCTTGAAGATGAAATAGAACTAATGCTTTTAATTTAAGTATATAATTAAATTTGAAGTTTTTAGTGTTCTTTCTTTTTACTATAATATATATATATATATATATATATATATATATATATATATATATATTAATGTCTTTAATTTAATTGCAAAATTAAATTCGTGGCTTTTAGCTTCCATTTTTGAAACATGGTTAGAACTGTGTAGCGAAAAAACATATTTTAAATCAATTAATTTATAATATTAATGCTCTGTAAATTTACATTGAGCACTATTTTGTAAAAATAAAAATATCTATAAGAACACCGGATTATATATCTTACTGTTATTTCTTTATATATATATATATATATATATATATATATATATATATATATATATATGGTTGGATTGTTGTGAGTTTGTGACCCTGGGTTTCACGCTTGATGTCAGCAGGAATATATATATATATATATATATATATATATATATATATATATATATATATATATAGTGGACTCTCCTATCATGAATGATAAATGTGGGTCAGCATTGGATGGCACTTGTGCATGCTAGCAGGGGCTATTGTGGAAAAAATCAGGTAAGGGAAAGACATATCTCATTTGTGCTTTCTTAAGTGTGATACTAGCCCAGCTTTGCTGTGGTGACAAAGCCACACTGACAGATGAAATTTGTTAAAGCAGGATTTTGAAGGTATCTCTGCTTCAGAGATTGACGAAGCTGATCACTGTGCTTCATTCTACTGTCTTCAAAACCCTTTAACTTAATGGAAAATCTCTTACACCACTCCTTCCGGTTTGATCTGAAAACCTTGAAATATATATATGTATATATTTGGTTGGATTGATGTGAGTTTGTGACCCTGGGTTTGTCTGACGATCGCAAAAGCGTGAAACCCAGGGTCACAAACTCACATCAATCCAACCAAATATGTTAGCTCTATCTCTGATATTGAGCACTTTCTAATAAGTACCGCGCATATAATATATAAATAATTATATATATATATATATATATATATATATATATATATATATATATATATATATTTATTTATTTATTTATTTATATTTATATACACACACTTTTCACACACACACACACACATATATATATATATATATAGACAGAGAGAGAGAGAGAGAAAAGAGAGAGAGAGAGAGAGAATGGAAAGCGAGTGATAAATAGATCGATATGAGTCACTTTGAACAAGAAATATATATATATATATATATATATATATATATATATATATATATATATATATATATTATATATATATAATGTTTGAAGCTGGTCCCAGAGGTTGTTGTTTTGGATAATAAGAGAAAATTATTATACATGGTTTAAAAAAAGCGCGACATGTTTTTTGTTATGAGAAATTATATTATGACAAAAAGAAAAAAAAAAGTTATTTTATGATTAATTTTGTTCCTGTCAAAATATCGTCCTTTAGTCTTGAATATTGCAGCACAAATTTTTGGCATTCGTTGCAAACCTTTCTCAAAGTATAAGTTTGATAATCGATTCCATTCTTTTTTCAATTACTCTCAGAGCTCGATTTCATTTTTTTCACTCTTCTGTGAAGTTCTCACATGCAAACTTTTTAACTGTTTTATATATATATATATAATGAAATGGATTAAGTGACAATTATTTAATATTTTTTTTGTAAATTCGTTATTTTTATAGATACGATTTAAGTAAATGCTCTGTTTTTAATTAAACATTATTAATTACATTTACAAGGCTGAATGTTCGAAAATTTCTTCGTTCAAAATAATAAGCATAACTGTCAGCCATAGCATTTAAACGCAAAAGAAAAAAAAATCAGTAATGCATAGCTACACATAGTCTTTTGTCTTCCCAGTTGGGCTCTTGTTGATGATCCCCAAAAGAGATGGAAAGTACTTGAGTAAATAAGTGATTCTCACTGTTACAATAAAGAGAATTTGCTCCCTAAATACACAAACTATATATATATATATAAAAGTGAAAATTGAAGTCAACACTTAGAGGCGACAGTCTGTTTCATGCTAGATGCAATCGTCAGACCTGATTCCTTAAGTTTACGAATTTTCCAATGTTTTTCGTAAACTTAAGGAATCAGTATATGTTCAAAAATCTCCTGAGCCGACCAAGCATAGAAATGAATACAGTATGGGAACCTGTAATAACGAACGCCAGAGAAAAGCGAGGATAACAACAAAAGTTGCAATATCTGGTAAAAACATGCAATGATAACAGCAAAAAATTGCAATATGAGCACTGGCAAAAATGGTTGCTGAAGACATTAGGTTTATAATACCCAAAAATTCATACACCGATGTCCTCAAGGCACAGTAGTTAAAGGCGTTGGTTAGATCCAGTGACAGGATCCAAAGAGTGTGAATTCAATACTCGGTTATGGCAGTGGAGAACTTTCAGAGGAAAATTAACAGGAGCAAACTGACATGGCACGTGGAACTAGAACAGTCTACTCCAGTGAGCGAAATAAAGGGTTCAGTTCGACATTCCAACCACCTGAAGAAGGCCGGAGCGTTCAACGGCCGAAACGTTGTAATAAATATGGCGACAAAGATGAGGACAATAGTCCGAATTATGTAAATAATGTACATAATAACTCAACTCACACACACACACACACACACACACACACACACACACACATATATATATATATATATATATATATATATATATATATATATATATATATATATATATATATATATATATATATACTCCACTCTCCCATCGAATTCGACGCATGAGGGTCAATCAGATCAGTTCTAAGGAAACCGACAACCCGACACCAGCATATATGATTTGATTATAATGGTGAAGGTTTTGTGTAGAACCATCCACACTTTTTTAAGGGCCTTTCCTACATTTTTTTAAAAATTGGTATTTATTTTATGTGGTATTAAGTCCTTGTTCAAATATGTTTGCGTGTGTCATGGCTGTAGACTTGTTAGACGATGATAACCATTGCTGAAATATTTAATGTATGGTTTCTCAATTCTTTGTAGAACAACAACGGCACATACAGTATTGAATTTAGAGTTATCATTCTCCTAGATAGGTTGCCAACCGGTTCCCCCTCTATTTAACCCATAGCTGAGAGAATGTAATGAATTCAACTGGAATTCAATTCCTCAATCCAAGCCGCCCGCTATCCATTACTCCACCGTGCCTCCTATATATATAAATATATATATATATATATATATATATAGGAGGCATATATATATATATATATATATATATATATATATATATATATATTATTTTTAAATTTTAAAGGTTTTTTAGTGGGCGATAACGGTTATGTTTCGATTTATTCTTGGGGCTATTCAGTGGAAATAATTGTGGATCCGGATGCAGTTTTTATAGTATTGTTTGTTAACTATTTTATTCATTATTTAAGATTGATTATTTTGCACATGCGTGTAAGCATGAAACAGACTGTTGGTGCTGGATGGTGACTTCAATGTTGGGAGAGAGAGAGTAAGAGAGATAATTAGGGGAGAGATAGAGAGAATAGAGTGATAGATACAATACAATTATTGTTATCTGACCTTGTGGATAGTTAAGATCACGAAACATTTAGTCGGTCACAGATAAGATTCATGAACATTTTTATTCAATGATAATAATTATTGTTGTAAATATATATTGAGGTTTACGGCCATATTATGTTGAAACCCCGGTTCCCGTACGATCACTGAAGTTAAGCAACGTCGAGACTGGTCAGTACCTAGATGAACGACCGCTTGTAAATACCAGGTGCAGTAAGATTTGGATGTGCAGGTGGTGTAATGGATAATTGCTCGGAATTGTTTCAATTCCAAATGAGTTCGTTATTCACTTACGCGCAAATACCATTCGGAAATCTATGAATCCACCTTTTCTAACCCCATCTATGGGTTAATTAGAAAGACTTGTATCACTAAATCATTATTATTTCTACCCAAAACCCACAAAATGTCCTTCAATGTAAACATATTTTCTGGATTTAAATAACCTGCAAGGAGTTGATAAACCGTAAAAACACGAATCAATCAAAAGATATATAGTGAGCAATCTTACTGACAAAATTCTGTTCACATTAATATCCGTTAAATTACAAAATTTTACGTATATCAACAGACGTTGTTGTTGTTCTTATATATATATATATATATATATATATATATATATATATATATGTGTGTGTGTGTGTGTGCGTGTGTGTAGTAAATACATGTCAGTTAAGTGCTGCAAGGATCAGATAACAGCTCGTATATATATATATATATATATGTGTGTGTGTGTGTGTGTGTGTGTGTGTGTGTGTGTAGTAAATACATAAGTCAGTTAAGTGGGTGATCATGTCTCTTTCGATTCACTAACTAGACAAAAAGCTGCTTCCGCAGTAGGTTGCCGTTTCTTTCTGCAATAAACTGGTGGCCATCCACTGCTATAGGATCCCTTCTATCTTGCTATTCAACCCATAACTACCGGGGGGGGAAGAAGAGATGTATTCATACATTTTTTCAAAATCATTTGCACGTATGTGGAAGCAACGAACCTAACAGGAATTTGACTCATTTCAAACCGATAAAAAATTCGTTTTCTTTTTAAATGATTTGCCGATTTTCTGGCGCCATCAGCCAAAAAAGCACATTTATTTCACGAGAGCAAATCTACATTATTGAGACGAAACTCATTCCAACTCTGTTTTTATTTTTTGTTTATTTTTTCTATTGTTTATCATTTACTTTTTTTTATTCATTCATTTATTATAATTTTCAATTTTTATTTCCCCGAGTTTTACATATTCTTATATTGATAGTTTTTATTGGTATATTGATATATTAATATTTCTATATTACTTATATATACTTATATTCTACATGATTTCAGTATGGATTATTGCTGTTTTATTTGGGCTTAGATGTGACGCAACTGTAGAGCACCCAGTGAGGATCAAAGTCACTACGTAATTGCTAACCACTGCACCGCATCGAAGTGCCGATTCCAGCGAGATAATGTAATATTTAATCGGGTCCCAAGTTGTCCAGAATTATTTGGGAGAACATTCTGGAGACTTTCAGTGAATGGTACGATCAGTAACTTCACTCGACATGAGTTCACTCGACATGATTCCAGTCCAGCATTTACGGGACGTAGTTAAGAAATTGTTCGCACGCAAGATTATGCATTTATAAATAATCGGAATTTGGGGAGATATCATAGCCAAAGATTTTACGACAATTTTTCTGACCTCTTGTGTAATCATTGCCATGACACGATACTAGATATATTTTTCATGACTTTTGACACGTCACACACACACACACACACACACATATATATATTGTCATCCGCAGACTGATTCGCTGTAGCACAGCTCATCAGTGTGGCTAGACGTACGGTTGCCTCTAGCTAGGATCGAAACTCGACTGAATTGGCATCAGTCGGGTATTCTACCACGGCAGGGATGAAGGTGAATTTAAGCGTATTTATTTTTAGATAAACACACGTGACTGAGACAAGTCGATTCGATTTTACAGAAGAGTCTTGCATTATTAGCTGTAATAGTCACTGTTTACAAAACCCATACTCCCAACCCCAGAGAGCTCAACCGAATACATTTTTCAGGAGAATATATATTGTCATCCACAGACTGTTTCGATGTATCACAGCTCATCAGTGTAACTAGACGTCCGGTTGCCTCTAGCTAGGATCGAAACTCGACTGAATTGGCATCAGTCGGGGATTCTACCACTAAGCCGTTATATATATATATATATATATATATATATATATATATATATATATATATATATATATATATATATATATATATATATAGTTAGTGCATAATTATCAGGCGTTTTTTTTAGGCGAGATATTTGTTAATAAAATTGCTGCTTTGTTTACTTTTTTTTTAATAAAAATATTATTCTATTCAGGATATAAAATTGCGTGTCAATAATCATACGTTCCGAATAATCATTTAAAAATGTTATTGCTGAATTGTTATGTTTCTTTTTTCATAATAAATATTATTTAAAAACGCCTGATAATTATTCACCAGCCCAATATATATATATATATATATATATATATATATATATATATATATATATATATATATATATAGGTACCTCCAAAGAAAAGCGATACCTAAGATTTAAAATTAATTTAAAAAAAATTTAAAGTCTTTCTTGAAGCTTTTATTTTAGTTTTAATTTCATCCTAGTAGATTAAATTTAATATTTACAATGAGATATATGTGTTTTACATATCAAGAACAATATTGGGGAAAAGTGTTTCATCCTACAGTACTTCATCCGCCTAAATTTGTTGTACCACTACATATGCGTACGAAAGAGAGATCGTTGAGATTTTAGAGCTTCTAGAATTTATTTTGTTATATCTAGCTGAATTCATTTAGATTCATTTTATTTCCATCACGTTTGTTAGTAGTTACCCAACACTGTGATAATGGGAAGATCTAATAGGGAATGTTGAAATGTTGTAAGAGCCAGGGAGCAAATTTTCTAGTAGATGTCCTTGCGATCAAGACATTCCCAAGACATTTACGTCAAAATGAATTGTTTTCTTCTTTCATCAAAGTTACATTTTTTATGTCAAAATTATGATCAGTATTTACTTCATTGTCTGTAATTTCGTAAAATTATAACTTGACCAACTCTCGTTCAAATAATTTCGAATTTAACAGAAAATTTTATATTTAATGATTCATTATTTTTTCTTCTCAGTTACAGAAATTCCATCAACTGGAAAAGAAAATGCTTTTTGTGTGTTAGAGTAGGCTTGAACACACAAGTCAAACAAGACGTGCATTTGTAAGAGAATTCACCCAACATGCACCAACTGAAGTGTTGTTACTTAAGACATACTACAGTGTGTTTGGTAGGAGCTGGACTACTCCTTTTTTTTTAATCATCTCACCCCAAGCAAGGCAATAAAGCCACTAAGACGCAATGGTTACTGAGTCTTGGGCAATATGAAAACAAAAAAGAAAATAAAGTTAAGGAGAGAGAATAATAAAAGGACAAGAATTAAGAAGACGAATGACATTAAATTTAAATTTTTGAAGATCAAAGTTGACTGGGAAGCTAGCAGCCGGAAGAAAGTTCTGCAAGCGATGAAACGGAAAGGACGTATATTGGAAGAAGAAATGTTGAGCCAAGTGCCGTGTCACAGGCGGTGCGCAAATCAAAAACTTGTGAAATCGTTCACGAAATTCACATACCATTGAATTTCTCATCTAAACTTTGGTTTGGTTTGGTTTATTTTGTTTTACGGCATATCAACCGCGATGGGTTATTTAATGCCGACAAAATATTTATTGCTGGTAATATGTTTTTCTTCAAAAATCTACTTCTGGGAACATTTTTCATTGAAGAAATTTATAGCTGGTCATATTTTTTTCAAAGAATGTATAACTGTTGGTATTGCTGGTATTTCTTTTTTAAAGTATTGCTGATAATAACTTTTCCTTCAAAAATGATTGCTTGTAATTTTTTTTTTTTGTTATTACAAAGTATTTCTGGTATTAAAACCTATTTTTATACAAGTTTGGGTGTTAACTATTTGCCCATAGCTGGGACCCTAACAGGTACTACCACCCCGGGTCATAGTGAACCTGGGAACATCAGCAATTAAGAGGTGGTTCCACGCTCCTCAAAACCTCCTGATCAGAGGCCTTGCTGTTGGACGTAGTTTATCGTCTTACCCTGGACGCGGATGGAGTTTAACGTCATACCCAGGACATCATTTAAACTTTTGTTTTGCTCAACAATAAGTCTGCCTAGTTTCCTCTGCCTAGACTATGGAGTTACTCAGATGTTTACATCTGAAATGATGTTAAATTTAGTCTAAAACTCCCTGTATAATATCTAATATTTAATGTAATATTTATAGTCACACAGAAAACGAAAGAAAGATTGTGGTGCGCCAATTTTTCAATAGGGAAATTGACGTATTTCTGTGATTGCCAGAATAACTGAGTCCAGATACAAAGTAGAATTCTGTATACTTATTTTAAAATTGAACAAGCCAAATCACATGAAAAATTGGCGCAACACAATCTTATTCTTTCCTTAAGACCTTCTTTTGCTCGAATAAGGTTAGTAAATATTTACATGAAAACTATGATAGTGAGTTCGATCCTTAATTTCCCACTAATATTTTTCTGTGCAATATTTAGTTAAATCATATTTGGCAACCAGTCGTCAATTCACAGACAGGAAATAGCACAAGGCCATGCGGAGGTATTGACAGGATGAGTAGGGTAAAGAAAAACCGCTGGAGTTAATCTATAATACTTATAATAGCCCCGGGCACAGATGAAATAATTTATTTCATTATCGTTCACCCAATATAAGGCCTAAGTGCCAGTCAATTACGGGATGTGGGTGTTGTAAGGACATAGAAAGAGAGAGCAAGGGTTGCATGTTATGAGGATATGTAGGATAGGTAATTGTTGAAGAGGTTAAGATTGTAGTAAGGAGGGAAACATCCTCTCGGGAGTCAATTCTACAATGTAACCGTTCTGAGGAAGAAAGCGTATAGGTGGAACATGGTCCTGGCAGGAACAGATTAGTAAATAAATTTTGATTATATTTGGTGTAGGTAATAACTGAATATTTTAACTGGTGACTTAAATAGTAGGATATTTCGAAATGTCATGTTTACTAGTTGACATTGTTAGTTATTTCTAAGTTTCCGAGTTTGATAGGTTTTTCTGCATGGAATTTTTTCTGGATTATATATTTGA